GTTTTCAATGAGTGTCAGATTTTAACACCTGAACGTTAGAGTGCCATTTTTACTAGTTTTTTTTTTTGCCATTAAAGTGGGACAAAAAAAAGGGATCAGAGGAAGGAGAAGTATCTTGAATCACACATTGTATGGGAAGTTGCGAAAAATAGCTTTATTCCTTGAAAAGAAATCGAAAATTCCTATGACAGTAGCTAGTAAGTACTGATGCAGGGGATGTTGATGTTACCAGTGAGTTTCGAAGAATAGACTGATATAATATTCAAACAAAGGCAAGATTGTAGGTATTTTTCCCATAAATCATTGGAAATGTGTTATTTCTTAGCACTTCCTGTTTTACTCAGATTTACTGTGTTTGACTTAGCCAATTTTATCATTACTTTTGAAGGACGTGGAAGAACTTTTTTTAAGGAAAGACGTTTACATAAGTGTGTGTTGAAAGCAGTAAGTCTAGGTTTTAACATCCCGGCTATTACCACCTTCCTGCAATCCTTCCCTACTTCATACGGCATCAGTTTGGGTGCTGTTTGTGATAAAACGTCGAGAATTGTTGTCTTTTTGTATCTGAAAGTTATATTTTTACTTGTACTTTTGTTTCAGAAATTTGTATTTTAGGGGAGGCTATCGGTTACTTCCGGATTATTTCGAATTTTGGCAGGGTCAGAGCGATAGAGTACACGATCGCATTGTCTTTGAAAAAGCGAACGGCGAATCCGAATGGACAGTCAAACGTCTTTCGCCATAAAATATGCCAGATTTTACTTCGTTGGGGCATGTGTCCTTCTGCCTCAGGTATCTAATTTTTTATTTCATACTGGATCAGTGTGAATGAGAGCAGAAAACTCTTGAAAGCAGTCGGGGTGGACAGCACGTGTCAAAAACCACCGTACACTGACAATGCTGCCGAAAGCTTCCCTTCCGAGGATTATTTATTAGCATGCTGAGGGGATTTCAGTCCTCCGTACTTGCCGAAACGAATGAACGAATTACAGAAAGAGACTGATCGTTCTATGAACAGACTCTAACCCTAGACTTTCACTGTAGTAGCGGCGCTGCTGTTCACAGTGCCATATGCGCCAGCTCATTTCCCGCAGAATTTTAAAAAATTATCAAAGTAATAGTCTAATTTTTTAGGACGTTTTGCTCCTGTTTTTTGGCCAGTCGAACTTGCGGCAATCAAGTAGCAGCGTTTTTATCTGTTGTTTACTGTTTTGTTGTCGCGAATCTTTAGTTATGTAGAGGAAAACAGTGTGTTGTAGGGATTTGTAATTTGTATCCTTTTTTTATTGTGGCGCCATCATGGTGCATGTGAATATTATTTTCTAGGCATACGTTTCGTAGTCATTTTGAATTTCAGCTATTAGGCATTTAAGGTGCGTTTTGTGTTGCATTTTGAACGCCAGTCAATTCTTTTCCAGTATATTCTTCATTCACCTCACGCTTTTTGTACAC